GGCTGCGCCGACCACCTGGTTTCACTGGGTCGTTTCCTGCAGGTACCCAGTGGAGCCTCCGGCGGCCAGTCTACGGTCTCCGCCAGGCGCCTCGCGAGTGGCACGACACACTCAGGACTACGCTTGCGGCTCTTGGGTTTGTTCCTTCTACAGCAGACCCGTCGCTGTTTCTACGCACCGACACCTCGCTGCCGCCCTTCTACGTCCTAGTGTACGTCGACGACCTCGTCTTTGCCACGGCTGACACTGAGGCACTGACCCTAGTGAAGTCCGAGCTGCAGAAGAGACATACCTGCACTGACCTGGGTGAACTGCGCAGCTACCTTGGCCTGCAGATCACCCGGGACAGAGCACGGCGCACCATCACACTGACTCAGTCACACATGGTGCACCAGGTCCTTCAGCGCTTCGGCTTCCAGTACTCCTCGCCACAGGTCACTCCTCTGTCTACCAGCCACTCGCTCTCAGCTCCACCTTCGGACGAGTCCGTAGAGCCGAGTGGTCCGTACCCAGAGCTTGTGGGTTGCCTCATGTACCTGATGACTTGCACACGATCTGACCTCGCGTACCCTCTCAGCCTTCTGGCTCGCTACGTGGCTCCCGGTAGGCACCGAAAGGTGCACTAGGATGCTGCGAAGAGGGTACTGCGTTACCTGTGCAGTACGTCGGGCATGGGGCTTGTGCTTGGAGGACGGGGTCCTGTTGTCCTCACTGTTCACGCAGACGCATCCTGGGTTGACGACTCAGCTACGCAGCGGTCGTCGCAGGGTTACACCTTCAGTCTTGGGTCCGGCTCGGTTTCTTGGCGGTCTACCCGCGCGTCTTCAGTTCTCAGCTCCACCTGTGAGGCTGAGATCTACGCTGGAGCCATGGCTGCTCAGGAGCTACGCTGGCTCACCTACTTGTTGACCGACCTGGGAGAGCAGCCTCGTTCGCCTCCAGTCCTGTACGTAGACAACAAGGCCATGATAGCCTTGTGTCAGGAGCACAGACTGGAGCACAGAGTGAAGCACATCGCTCTGCGATACTTCCTTGCTCGAGAGTTGCAGCAGCGTGGTCAGCTTCGTCTAGCGTACGTGACCACTCGGGCCAACACTGCTGATGTCTTCACCAAGGCACTTCCGCCTGGTGACCATCAGCGCTTTGTTACTGTGTTAGGCCTTGTGCCTACTTTGCCTCACTTACTTACTGCCTGACTCTGCCTGTATTGTGATCTATCTATATACCTGCATGCTTACACTTGTTAGGGTATGATCACTGTATTGTTTGTTCACTGTATATAACTCTGCATGTGAACTGGCCTTTTGGCCCTTTGCTTGTGCTCGGACTGTGTGGTGACTTTGTGATCCACCCTGAGCTTGCTTTGCTTTTCTTGACTGGTCTTGTGACCATTACTTGTTCTGGTTATCCCCCACTTCGCCTATGGGGGTGTGTCAAACATATATGCTTAGTTATATCTAGGCTTAGTTCATGTGTTTACATTTGTCTAGGCTATAGTGGGTTTAGCCTTAGGGGGTACAGAATTTCTCTCGACATTCTACTTGTACCCTTCCTTGCTTCCTAGTCAATCCTTCTCACCTAAGGATTCTAACACGCCCCGCCCATTCCCCTATTCCCTTTTCCACGTTGCCCCCTTTAGCAGATTATTATGTCTGTCCGCTTTTGGCGCACGAGACGGCACGCAAATATCGTTGCGCGTTTCATCGAGGCCAGGTTTGTTTCTTCAGCTGAATTTGTAAGTATTGCTGCACATGTGAAGTTGCTCGCCGTATTACTTGTTGTCGCCTGATTGATGCTTGCCAGCAATCTTTCACCAACGTTTTCATGCGGTTTGCGCAGGTTTAATTTCCGATCTTCATCTTAGCATGGTCCATTCTGGGATTGCAAGACGCGCGTATGCTCTTTCCGCCGCGTCAGCCAGTTTGCATCTCCGAAGATGGGGTGAAGGCGTGTCGCACAGTCTGCTTGCGGTCGCTGCGGTACACATTCTGCCGGTTACACCTCCCGAGGGGTCTGCGCGCTTGGCTGCACTGAAGTGTAGCTGCCGCTTCGCACATTTAGTCGCCAATCTATCGCATCCATGTATGTGACATGGCGTACACGTGCCCTTGCTGTGCCATAGCTTGTTTGTGCCTCTGTTTCGCTTATTCTCAATGTTTTTTAGGACTGGGATTCAATCTCGTGCATGTTCTAACAAAAAAACAAAAATAACAAAAAACGCTTTATCAGAAATGTCTCACGTTGTCATAAACAGTGCTCATGGTGTATACCTTGATGTTGGTCAAATATACACTGACCCGACGACCTAAATTTCATCTCAGAAAAGGCCGTGGTTACCCGGTTCACACGTTATTGTTACAACTCTGCCATCACTATAGCCCCTTTTTTTACAGCCATGTTGCTTTGTTAGGGCACAAGGCTAAACCTGGTTATTTTTACAGTGTACGCGGCCCAGCTAATTGCGTCACTGAAGTGTAGTGCTAGGCTCCTGCTTAGAGTCGAAGATGCCAGTGTCGAGTCAGGCACAATGCTCGTGCCCTCTTTTAGGTTTCACTGAGCATTGTCTGCGAACTATTCCTAGACAATCCCTAGGCATTGCCGCCCCTTTCCTAGACATTCCACATCATATTGCTAAAAGTTTGTTCCCACGAAGTACTTCAAGCATTGATAGAGCATTCCCGAAACATTGTTTTTGGGCTAAATTCTTTGTGACGACCGCATCGCGTAGCACCGCCGGCTAAGATTCCACATGGTTCCCCCCGATTGCGAATTCCTAAAACTCCACATCGACGGACGGTCTCTCAGCAACTTCCTACTCCTGAAATCGTTCCTAAACCACCACGTCGCACGGTCTCTCAGCAACTTACTTTTTTCTGAAGACGTTCCTAAACCACCACGTCGGACGGTCTCTCAGCAAATTGCCTTTCCTGATGACGTTCCTAAATCACCACGTCGCACAGCGGTCTCTCAGCAACTTACCTTACCTAAAGACGTTCCTAAATCACCACGTCAGACGGACTCTCAGCAACTTACCTTTCCGGATAACTTCCCCAAGTCACCACGTCGCACGGTCTCTCAGCAACTTACCTTACCTAAAGACGTTTCTAAATCACCACTTCAGACGGTCTCTCAGCAACTTACCTTTCCTGAAGACGTTCCTAAACCACCACGTCGCACGGTCTCTCAGCAACTTACCTTTCCTGAAGACGTTCCTAAACCACCACGTCGCACGGTCCCTCAGCAAACTTCTTATTCCTGAAGGCGTCCCCAATTCACCACATCGCACTGTCTCTCAGCAACTTACCTTTACTGATAACGTCCCTAAATCACTGCGTCGCACGGTCTCTCAGCAACTTACCTTTCAGGATGACGTTCCTAAATCACCACACACAGCCCTTCCGCGCACGGCGCACGGCGGCGCACGCAAAACCCCCCCGCGCAGCCCTTCCGCGCAAGCTCGGCAAGCGAGCACGGATGCGATAGATTTGCGGGGAGGCTTGTCGAGTAAGGGACTTGCGACGGTGAAGAGTGACGGCAGGGTGAAGCGGGAACAGAAGGAGTGGGAGGAAGAATTTTCAGTGAAGCAACCACGGCAGCAGCAGGAGCAGGAGGAGGAGCAGCAGCGGCGGCAGCAGCAGGAGCAGCAGCAGCAGCTGGCGGAGCAGCAGCTGCGGCGGCCGTGGCAGAAGAAGTTGATTCGAGGAAGCTCCGTGGATCGACAAACTGATCCTAGCCGTAGCCTTGGCAAGAAGGAGGAACCACTGCGCACCAATGGGGCATCGAAGGGCGCCCACCAATGGCACTCCGCCATCGAGCGACGCTCGCCAGGCGACCTTCTGTCAGAATGGAGGAGGGAAGGGAAGAGGGAGGGGAGTAGGGAAGGGAGGAGGGAAGGGAACAGTCCTCTGGGGGCGACGGTGGAAAAAAAGAGCAAGGAGAAAGGGGTCGAGGATAGGAAAGACAGACACGGCAGGCAGATGAAAGGAGAAGGGAGAGGTGGAGGGAGTGGGGGAGCGAAGGAGAGAGGGGCGGAGGGAGGGAGGGAGGAAAGGCGGGAGAACGGAGGAGAGGGGGGAAGGGAAGAAGCGGCGGAAGGGAGGAGGGACGAAGTGGCAGAGGAATTGGAGGATGATGCAGTTTACAAAAGGCTCTCGTTCGCCACTGCTTGGTTGAACGTGTCCCCTGCTGAGTCGACTCACAAGTCAATGACGGAAACTCAAAAGTCAACAGAGGAAACTGGGGATGATAGAAGGCTTTCGTTCACCGCTGCTTGGATGGGCTCGCCTGGGGAAACTGCAGCTACGGCAGGTGCAGCAACGGCAGGTAGTGCCACTGCAGGTGGTGCGACTGGAGGTGGAGCGGCAGCAGGTGGATCGGCTGGAGCAGCAGGTGTTGCAGCAACAGCGGTAGTAAGGGAGGAGTTTCAAGACTCCTTGATCTCGTGGCTCACTCCTCAAGTCCAGCCAACCAAGCGACACCACCAGCAGCCGCAGCAGCAGCAGCTCCTCTCGGCCCATCCGCCCGCCTCCTCCCCTCAGTCTGCTGCTGCTCATCCGCCTTGGCAAATCCAATCTCAACACACGCTTGGCCTCCAACCCACTTCCGCTCCACCTTCTCCCTATGCTTTTCCCCACGCCTTCCAACAGCAGCAGATGAGCCACCCCCAAGCCAGCCCCAGCCCTCCTCAGAAGCACCTCCCCCAGATCAACCTGAATGAAAGCACCTCGTCAGATCAAACCTCCTTAGATAAACCTCCCCCAGATCAACCCTCGTACACCAGTGGGTATCGATCCTTCCGCCTGCCTCCACCTCCCTACATGCCACCCTGCCCAGGCACATGCACATGCAGATGCACATGCACAAACACATGCCCATGTCCATGCCCATGCCCACTATATTCTCACCCCCTCTCTCTCCTCATTCACATCATTCTTTGAACCCAGAATCTCCCCCCTTTTTCTCTCCACACCCCGAATCTCCCCACCTTGGCTCTCCAAGAGCTATCCCATCAAGTCATGATTCGCCCGACCCCCCATTTCCTCACTCACCCTCCCCTCACTCCCTCTCTTCTCCCCACTCTCAAACCGCACAACTTCCCTCCTCCCTCCTCTCCCAAGCCCTCCCTTTCCGCCCCCGAATCCCCCACTCACAGTCCTGTCCCGACCTTCCTCCATTCTCCTTCTCGCTCTCCCCAGCGACTCCCTCCCAATTCCTGTGGAAAGTGTGGGATGCAGAGGGGGCATGTGACAGTGGCGATTTTCAGGGGGACCTATATGGGCTGGTGACGCCTGATGCTGAGGACTTGCACGAGTCTTGGCCTGCTGCTGCTGCTGCTGCTGCTGGGGTTAGTGAGGCGTTGACCGAATCTATGCCTGCTGCTGCTGGGGTTAGTGAGGCGTTGACCAAATCTATGCCCCCTGTTGCTGGGGTTAGTGAGGAGCGAGGAGGGGCAGGGGCTGGCGAGTCCGCTGGGGAGGCCAAGGGAGGTGCGGCAGGGAGAACGGGGATTGCAAGAGATGGGAGTGTGGGGAGGCTTGAAAGAGAAGAAAGAAGTGAAGAGACTTCCTCCTCCCTCTCATCTCCTTCTGCATGCCTCCCTACCCCCTCCCCCTCCTCCACCTCTCCTCACCTTCCTCGTCCCTACCGGCCGCGTCTCTCCATGATACCTCCCTCCCTCTTCATCCAACCCAGCTCCTCTCCGTCTTCATCCTCCTCCACTACTTCAACTGATGCTGCAGCCCTCACCAGCCCAACTCCCCCTCCTTCCTCTGCATCAGCAAAATATTTCATAGGGGTGGATGAGCCTCAGGGCCAAACCGTCAGCAGCAGCAGCATTAACAACAGCAGTGGCAGCAGCAGTGGCAGCAATGTGGGGCGAAGTGGGGCGGAGGCACCGAGCAGCACACCTGTGAAATCCCCTGGTGCTGCAAAATCACCCTCCTCACGCATTGTCAAGCGCGTGTGGGTGGTGGGAGCAGATGCTAAACCCGTAGAGTATGTACCCTGCAACGAACCATTTCCTCCTCCTTCTCCTCCCCTCCACGCTCCCCTCTCCCCCCCACTTGGGGCACCCCTCCCCCTCCCCTCTGGGACTCTCCATTCGCCCCGTCCTACCCCCTCTCCGACCCCTGAGGCCAGCTCCCATGCTGCTCGCGCCTCGCCACGTGGCAGCAGAAGATTGGTCGTGGATGTACCGGCTTGTGAGAGCATAGAGAATGATGTGCCTGGCACGCTTAGGACACCCAGGGCTGGTACACCCGGGGCAGGTACACCCAAGGCAGGTACACCCAGGGAAGGTACACCCAAGGGAGGTACAATTAAAGAAGGCTCACCCAGGGTAGGCACACCTAGGGCACGTCCGCCCCTTTCAGGATCAACCACTCCTGGAAGCAGTGTATCTGTTGTCACTGCGGCAGCTGCTGCTGGTGCTGCTTCTGCTTCTGCTTTTGCTGCTTCCAGGAGTGGAGCTAAAATACCTAGGACGCAAAGCCAAGGATCTGTACACTTTAAAGCCTCTGACTCGTTTAGAGTAAGAGATGTTACAGGGCAGGACAGCCGCAGCAGCAGCAGGAGAAGAAAGAGGGGGAGGAGGAGGAGGGGATAGAGGAAGGACGGCAGGGCGAGAGTAAGAATCAGCAGCAGCGAAGGCTGAGGGCAGCAGTATCGAATCTTGCACCATCACTGCTGACTCCTAGCGGTGCTGATAGGCCTTTAAAGGCGCTTCATAAGTCAAATCTTGGACGATCGCCCCTGTCCCGTAGCGGGGCTGATTGTCCGCTCTGGTCTCCTCAGCTGAAGGATCGCTCCCGCATGCGAAGGGGTCAAGCAACAGAAGCATGGACGCCAATGCACTCCCGCCCTCAGAGAGAGAGAGAGAGAGAGAGAGAGAGAGAGAGAGAGAGAGAGAGAGAGAGAGAGAGAGAGAGAGAGAGAGAGAGAGAGAGGCACCTAGTCCCTCAATCCCTTGGCCTCTCAGCCTCTCTTGCTCGTAGTATTAAAGGCATTGGGCCTTTGTTCTGAGCTCATTATTCGGTGTTGGTTTTAGTTCTGCCATAACGTGGGTGCCGGGGACAGGAGGAGGACGCGGACGAGGAACCCGACGCCCAGTGCGAACAGCGCGAACAGGCGAGAAAGTACGAGACACAAGCTCCCGTCGCTCTGTAAGAGTGTCAGTCTGCTCAGCGTACGGAGAGGGAGCCGGCAGTGGGGAGCCTGGCTGTAACTATGGCTGCGATTGGAGAGGCAGTGGACTCAGTAAGCTAGGAGGAAGGCCAGTAGAAGACGGGAGACTAAGAACCTGGCGAGACAGGGGAACGAAAAACGGTACCGCCAGACACAGCACCTCCAGCTCCAGGGTCAACAGCTCCAGAGTCTATAGCTCCACCTCCTCCAGTCCCAGTACCTCTAGGCTCCGCAGGGTCTCTAGCCCCAGCTCCTCCAGTTCTAGCGCCCCAAACACTACCAGTCCCGGCAGTTCTAGTACCCCAGGTACGAGCACCTCCAGGACCAGCAGCTGCAGCACCTCCGGCACCACCAGTTCCAGCAGTAACTCCAGCACCTCCAGCTCTAATGTCTCCAGCGGCAGAGTCTCCAGCACCGGCAGCTCCACTCCGAAGGCGTGTGCGCTGAGCAAACCACTCGCGCAGCTGCTGCGGGGAGAGAGGCTCCGGCCGGGGAGACAGTCGTGGCGAAGCACCCGCAGGACCTCCAGAAGAAGCAGTACCCCGAGGCTCCGCACCCCTAGAGTCCGCACCCTCAGGCTCCGCACCCCCAGACTCCGCACCCTCAGACTCAGCACCCCCAGGCTCCACACTCTTAGGCTCAGCACCCCCAGGCTCCACACCCTCAGGCTCAGCACCCCCAGGCTCCGCACCCCCAGGCTCAGCACCCCCAGACCCGGCACCCTCAGACTTAGCACCCCCAGGCTCCGCACCCCCAGACGCAACAACCCCAGACGCAGCACCTGAGGCTACAGCTACCTCACAAGGCACAATACCAAGGAGAGGGTCTACCTGAGGCACACCTGAGGGAGCAGGACCCTGGGGGGAGAGAGGCTCTTTCGGAGGGGGACCTGGAGCAAGGAAGAGTGGCGGGGGCGGTGGCTAGGCAGAGCCGTAGGGGAAGAAATGGTAAAAGAAAACCGACTCGTCAAAAGTGACGTCTTGAGGCACACGCCTCAGCAGGAGCAGTACCAGGGAGAGCAGACTCACTAGCACCTAGAGCAGCAGCCTCTATACCTGGGTCAGGCGGCACACACAGGTAACAGTCACCCTCAGCACTAACAGACAATGCATACATAGCAGCAAGAATAGCATCATAGTCTAGGTCAAAGATAGCAACTCAAGACCTAAGCAGCTCTGCCCGGCGGGGGCGCTCAGCCTCGTCACCAAACTCTGCGGGCCAAGCGTCGTCTAGGCGGGAGAAGCAACGGTACTGAGTGTGAAGCTTCCCGCACGTCTGACCAGCACGATCACCCGTGCGAATGATATACGAGCAAGTACCACTACTCCCAGACGCCCCACGCTGAGCAAACCACTCACGAAGCTGCTTGGGCGACGGGGTCTCACTCCGACGCTGTTGCTGCTGCCTCTGGCCACCACCATGTCAAACTTATATCTACTATAGTCTGTTTAGGCTGTAGTGGGGTAGTCCTTAGAGGGTACAACACTTTTGTGTTTCCTTCTTGTACCCTTCTTCTTTCTAGTTCAATCATTCTTTCGTCAATTCTCTCACATGGTATCAGAGCTAGTTTCGATTTTTCCTAAAAGGCCCACCACGAAAGTTTTTTTTTCCTTACCTGCCCGACGCGCGCGTCACGCCTGCCCTTCGAGGCCCCTTCGCGGCCCGTAGCGGCCCCCTCAAGGCCCGTAGTGGCCCCTTTCGTGGCCCGTAGTGGCCCCTTCACGGCCCGTAGAGGCCCCTTCTGCGGCCCGTAGCGGCCCCTGCCCCTTTCGCGGCCCGTAGCGGCCCCCCCTCACGGCCCGTAGTGGCCCCCCTTGCGGCCCGTAGCGGCCCCTTCGTGGCCCGTAGCGGCCCCCTTTGCGGCCCGTAGCGGCCCCGTCACGGCCCGTGGCGGCCCCCTTTTCCGGCCCGTAGAGCCCCCCCCCCTTCGCGGCCCTAAGCCGTCGCGTCGCGCGGCGCCCCGTAGCCTAGGCCCTGCCCCGGCTCTGCCCCGGCCCCGTCGCGGCCCCGCCCCGGCCCCTTCCCCGGCCCCGTCACTTGTCGCGGACTGGCCCCGGCCCCGGCCCCGTCACGGCCCCGTCCCAAACAGGCCCCGACCCTTCCCCGGCCCTGTTGCGGCCCCGACCCTTCCCCGGCCCCGTCCCGGACCTGCCCCGACCCCGGACCTGCCCCGACCCCGGCCCTGCCCCGACCCTGTCGCGGCTCTGTTCCGGCCCTGTCGCGGCCTCGCCCCGGCCCTGTCCCGGCCCTGCTCCGACCCTGCCCCGGTCCTGCCCCGGCTCTGCCCCGGCCCTGCCCCGGCTCTACCCCTGCCCTGCTCCTGCACTGTCGCGGCCCTGCCCCAGTTCGGCCCCGGACCTTTTGCGGCCCGGCCCCGGCCCTACCCCCGACCTGCCCCGACCCTCCCTCGGCCCTGCCCCGGCCTCGCCCCTGGTAAGAGCACCGCCGAGCCGGGCCGCGCTGCTGAGCCGCGCCGCTCTGCCGAGCCGCGCCGCCCTGCCGAGCCGCCCTGCCGAGCCGCGCTGCCCTGCCTAGCCTGCTTAGCCGAGTTGCACTGCTGCTGCTGCTAGCCTGCTGCTGCTCCTGTCATGGCTAGTCTCAATGTTCTTACCTTTGATGCTGAGGGTCGAGCTGTTGACTTTGAGGTCTGGCTAGATGATCTGCAGCTTTTCCTACAGTGCGATAGCAAGGATGGTCTCTCACTGTTCGATCTCACGTCTGGCGCCTCTACTGCCCCTGCTGCTGATGCTGACAGTACTGTTCGCTCGCAGTGGCTCACGCGCGATGTTGCTGCTCGCCTTGCTGTGCGTAATCACCTGCCGTCTACTGAGCGCGCGCACTTTAGTCAGTACAAGAGTGCTAGAACTCTGTACGACGCTGTAGTTGCACGCTACTCCTCCCCTACCACTGCTGCCCTCAGCCGCCTCATGCTGCCGTACCTTTTTCCTGACCTTGCCGCCTTTGACACAGTTGCTGACCTAGTTGCTCACCTCCGCACTAGTGACGCTCGCTACCGCGCTGCCCTTCCCACTGAGTTCCTTCCCACGAACTCCCCCCCCATGTACATCACCCTTTACTACCTAGTCACCCGCCTCCCTGACTCTCTCTCCTCAGTCAGGGATCACTTTCTCTCCCTCTGCCCCACCGAGGTGACTGTCGACTTGCTAGAGGAGCGCCTTGCTGCAGCTGAGAAGAGTATCTTAGCTGTCGGTGCTTCTCGCGGCGACCGTCGCACCCCCTTCTTTGAGGGGTGTTCCCCTGTCCCCCTTCTCCCCTCTGTTGCCTCTACTGCTGCTGTTGACCTCGTTGGCACTGAGGAGGTCGGCGCTGCGTCTGCCCCTAGTGGGCGACGCCGCACTGGCAAGGGCAAGGGAAGCAGGGGTGGTGGAGGGGGCGGTGGGGGAAGCGGTGGAGGAGGTGGAGGAGGTGGAGGTGGTGGTGGGGGTGGTTCCAGGAGTGGGGGCGTCGGTGGCGGCAGTGGAGGCCGTGGCGGCGGTGGCGGAGGAGGTGGAGGCGGCGGCAGCGGTGGTGGAGGTAGCGGAGGAGGTGGTGCTGGTCGCGGTGCAGCCACGCAGCGTGGAGGCCTTGGTGGCAGCCAGCGTCAGCAGCAGCCGCGCACCCGTGAGACCCCGTCTGTTCAGCAGCTTCGTGAGTGGTACGCTGGGCGTGGGAGGTCTGGGGGTGCAGGTCCCTGCACGTACGTTCTTCGCACCGGCACTCGTAGTCGGGAGGTGTGTGGTCTCCCACACACCACGCAGCGCTGCTTCGGCCGCTTGACTGACGCTTGGCGTACCCAGTTTCCTGACGCAGTTGAGCTTCCTCGTTGGCATGATCTGCTTCTGCAGAATGTGCCTATCTTTGATCTAGACTTTGATGCTATCCTTGCTGCCATGTATGCTCTTGCTGATATTACTAAGGGTGACTGTTACCTGAGTGTCCCGCCCGACCCGGGCACTGCGGCTGCTGCTCTAGGTGCTAGTGCGGCTGCTGCTCTAGGTGCTAGTGCGTCTACTGCTCCAGGTGCTGGTAC